TTGTACTGAAGCCACATCCATAAAGCCAGTCAGCAGGGAATCTTTCTCTTTGAGTTCCTCTGAAAGTTGTCGGATGTCTTCCATAAGGTCAGCAATCTTCTTGTTCGCTTTCTTAAGGAGTGTGCAGTCCTCATGGGGCAGAGTTATCTCGGCTAGCATAGTCACCGGAGCTTTGTTGTGGTCAGTAGCGTTGATCGCGCTTTTACGGTCATCTAGCTTAAAATCCATGTCGGATGACTAAAATCCTTAACACACGTAAAACTCAAGTTAAAAACTTAAGTTAAATAAAAAGGATATAAAAAATGTAACGAAAAAGAGTGGATTAAAACTGGATAAGAGTCCGGTTTAAGATGGAGCTTCCGACAGGTAGCAACAGATGCCAACGCATGCGCAGAGTGTAGATTACGTCAGCAATTAGGTCAGCGATCTTGTGACTTGCTCACAAGATCGCTGTCGTACATCCTCTGCTGGGCCTTCTTGATGATAGTGTCAGTGTTGGGCTCCCACTTCAGGTCCTGGGAAATAGTGGAACTCAGAAACCTGAAGGATTCCACAGCAAACATAAGGCTGTTGAGTATGGTGATCGGGGGCAGAGTGGGGGGGCTCCTCCTGAAGTTCACGGTCATCTCCACAGTTTTGAGCGTGTTAAGCTCCAGGTTGTTCTGACCGCACCAGAGAGCCAGCTCCCATCTGTAGGCCAAGTCGTCACCATCCCGGATGAGGCCAATGACCGTTGTGTCGTCAGCGAACTTCAGGAGTTTGACAGATGGGTCTCCTGAGGTGCAGTCGTTGGTGCAGAGGGAGAAGACCAATGGGGAGAGCACACGCCCCTGGGGAGCACCAGTGCTGATAGTCTGGGTGCTGGATGTGATGTTCCCCAGCCTCACCTGCTGACTCCTGTCAGTCAGGAAGTCTGTGATCCACTGACAGGTGGAGGCAGGCACAGTGAGCTGGGTGAGGTTGGTGCTGAGGATGTCCTGTAGGCAAACTGCAGGGGGTCCAGCAGGGGGCCTGTAATGTCCTTCAGGTGGGCCAACACCAGTCTTTCAAAGGACTTCATGACTACAGATGTCAGGGCGACAGGCCTGTAGTCATTCAGTCCAGAGATGGGGGGGTTTTTGGGACCGGGATGACTGTGGAGCATTTGAAGCAGGAGGGAACTTCAAACAGCTCCAGTGATTTGTTGAAGATCTGAGTGAAGATGGGGGCCAGCTGGTCTGCACAGATTTTCAGGCACGATGGTGAGACACCGTCAGGTCCAGGAGCCTTCTTGATCTGGTCGTTGGCTGCAAAGCTGTTATTTAGCTTTTCAGCATAGCAACTCTTTGCAGCTTTGACCTCTTTAGTCAGCATGTTCCTGGCCTGGTTGTACAGGACTCTGTTCCCACTTCTGAAGGCCTCCTCCTTGGTCTGACAAAGCTGCCTGAGTTTCGCTGTGACCCAGGGTTTTTGGTTGTTGTATGTGCGGAAGGTTTTAGTCGGCACACACGTCCCCACAAAAACTGATGTAAGATGTCACAGTGTCAGTTAGATTGTCCAGGTCAGTGGCTGCAGCCTCAAAAACACTCCAGTCAGTGCAGTCAAAGCAGGCCTGTAACTCCAGCTTTGACTCGTTGGTCCATCTAACTCCAGATAACTCCAAGATTCCTTACAGTGGTGCTGGAGGCCAGGGCGATGCCATCAAGGGAAACTATATCTTTA